GTGATAAATGAGTATGCGTGTAATGATCGAGGTGTGTGTGAATTGTGTATGTTCATGTAATGTATGAAAGTAGAAAGAACAAACCAGAGAGATTGGGCATAGATCAGTTGTAATTGAGTAGTAATAGTGAAAATAGGTGTGAACGTGTGATTGCGAGAAATTAATTAGATTTATACTTAATATTCGTGTTTGATCATTTTTGTAATTAAATAAAGAATTGTTCTTATTGTTATTGATATTTCATTCACCGTTAATAGCCTACAGCTGAGAAACGTCGATGTCAGGGGTGTATAATAAAGGACCCTTGGCTTCATCCCTTAATGGCAAGGATTAGGAAAATGTGGTTCAATCCTGTTTTCATAGTTGTTTATAGTCCCTGCTGTTAGTAGTGGATATTGTATTTATACTAATATATTAAATACTCTTTTAACAATATTATCGGACAGGGTAAAAATTGTTGATGAAATATGTCTAATTATGTTCACTCTTTCACACTATATTCGTTCACACGTGTACTCTCAATGAATTCTTAATTGTAACTGACCTGTACCACTACTCTTTACGTAAATGTACACAGTCCATATCACACTTCGTTCATTACACGCATACTCGTTTCTCATAACAACCTAAATTCGCTCATATCAAATACACATTCCATGCATACTTATTCGTTATATTTAATATTTGTTAATTAAATAAAGAATTGTTCTTATTGTTATTGATATTTCATCCACCACTAACAGAATCTGAGCTTTCATATTCAAATTTCCCGCAATTAGAGATGAAAATTCAGAGTACAAAAATGGCGAAGGATCTAGCTATTATTTTAGACATGGCCTAGAATTATTTTCCATGCTTCGAGTAAACGTCTGAGTTTTTCATTTCAATGAGAACACTTTCCAAGTACTGACCTTAAATAATCGCAGAATATTGGCTACCATGATGGAGACTACGCTGAAGGAAGCTCCTATAACGCCTGTGACAGGTTTGTGGGGCACGTACATCGGTGGTTTGTCATTTTCACATTTATACTCCGATATATCCTGGAAATAAATAAAAGAAGAGTCACGTTTGTGTAATGCTTTATCTATTCTACTTGTCAATCAATTTCGCTTTTATAGATAATCCAGATTGAATGCAGCTGATGCTACAGAGAATACAGTATAGTTGATAATTATTGAAATAGTCTGTTGTTTTCCATCCGAAAATCTTTATTAATGATTTATTTATGCTAGTGTTGGGAATTATTAAAATAAATAGTCTTTTAGTAGTCTTTTAATAGTTTAGGAGCTAGAGGATTATTCAACGATTATATGAAATAATGTTATTAGTATTTTGAACTAGCATTTCAGTGGTTGAGTAATCAAGTAATGCATTTCGATTAATTTTTCAAGACGTATAATTAACTTACACGCGTGTGTACTGTAAGGGAAGGAATAAGGAGGAAATAGGGAACGGGCACGAACAGGATTTACTGTAAAGAAATGAAATAAAAGATAGTAATTATTGTTGGGTGAATCGCCTTGTATTTCCTTTTTTGAGCAGCCAGCACCATCTACCGGAATTAGTAATTAATAGAGGTACTGACTCTTCACTCTAGGGGGACGGTGTACAGGTGGAGGACAAAGAAACAAAAGAGCTCACAATCAGTGTGCTTACAATAGAAGAAGCGTAAGGAATGTGTACGTGTAAAAGACTAGACTATGAATGTTTTGTTAAAGTATTATTTATAAAAAATTTATATTTTTTACATTTTTATTCATGAAAAATTTTGTCTATATCAATGTGGCACAAATCCAATAATTAATTAAATTAATAAATCATATGTATTTCTCAAAAAACTCCATTTCATTTTATTTTTCAAAATACTGAAATCTACTTATAATAATTAATGT